AACAAGTTGGACGTCCATTCAGAAACTCAACTATAAAGACGGTAATTATAAAGACCACAGATGGATAAATCTATAAAGAAGGGAAGAAAACAGCCTAAAAAGGCTGAGAATACCCAAACTCAGAACGCCTCTTCCTCTACAGGGGATCACAGTTCCTCATCAGCAACAGAACAAGGCCTGATGGAGAAAGACTGTGTTCCATTAGCAGAAGCAGGCTTTAAAAAGTGGATGATAAGAAACTTCTGGGAATTAAAAGAACTTGTTCTAACCCAATGCAAAGAAACTAAGAACTTGGAAAAAAGGTTTGACGAAATGTTAAAAATAACACACAATTTAGACAGGAATATAAGTGAATTAATGGAGCTGAAAAATACAACACGAGAACTTCGCGAACTATGCACAAGTTTTAACAGCCGAATTGATCAAGCAGAAGAAAAGATATTAGAGGTCGAAGACCAACTTCATGAAATAAAACAAAAAGACAAGATTAGAGAAAAAAGGATAAAAAAGAACAAGCAAAGTCTCCAAGAAATATGGGACTATGTGAAAAGACCTAATCTACGTTTGATAGGTGTACCTGAATGTGACGAAGAGAATCAATCCAAGCTGGAAAATACGCTTCAGGATATTATTCAGGAAAACTTTCCCAACATAGCAAGGCAGGACAATATTCAACTCCAGGTAATAAGAGAACACCACAAAGATATTCCTCAAGAAGACCAACCGCAAGACACATACCCTCAAGCCAGATTCACCAGGGTTGAAATGAAGGAGAAAATACTGAGGGCACCCAGAGAGAAAGGTCAGGTGACCCATAAAGAGAAGCCCATCAGACTCACAGCAGATCTCTCAGCAGAAACCCTACAAGACAGAAGAGAGTGGGGACCAATATTCAACATCCTTAAAGAAAAGAACTTTCAACCCAGAATTTTACATCCAGCCAAACTAAGCTTCATAAGCGAAGGAAAAATAAAATCTTTTGTGAACAAGCAAGCACTCAGAGATTTCATCACCACCAGGCCTGCTTTACAAGAACTTCTGAAAGAACCACTACAAATAGAAAGGAACAACCAGTATCAGCCTTTCTAAAAAATACCAAAAAGTAAAGAACATCAACATAATCAAGAATTTACATCAACTAATAGGCAAAACAGCCAGCTAACATTAAATGGCAGTATTAAACTCATATATTATTATTAATTCTAAATTTAAATCGACTAAATTCCCCAATCCAAAGACACAGGCAAAAAAAGCCAAAACCCATCGGTATGCTGCATCCAGACCCATCTCACATGCAAGGATACACAAAGACTCAAAACAAAGGGATGGAGAAAGATTTACCTACCAAATGGAGAGCAAAAATAAATAAATAGAAAGCAGGAGTTGCAATTTTTGCTGATAAAATAGACTTCAAAGCAACAAAGATCAAAAGAAGCAAAGAAGGATATTACATAAAGATAAAAGGATCAATGTAGCAAGAAGAGCTAAAGATCCTAAATATATATGCACCCAATACAGGAATACCCAGATATATAAGACTTATAAAGAGACTTGGACTCCCACACAATAATAGTGGGAGACTTACAGATCAATGAGACAGAAAGTTAACATCGATATTCAGGACTTGAACTCAGATCCGGAACAAGTAGACTTAATTAACATTCATAGAACTCTCCACTTTAAATACACAAAATATACACTCTTATCAGTACTACATCACACGTATTTACAGGTTTAAATGAAATGTTGGTTGGCTGCTTGTTAATTATTTTCTTCCCTCATTTATTTTTTATTTATTTATTTTTTTTGTCTCTATTATTAAACATAATTACAGACATACCCATTTTTAGACTGCATTTTAGCTCGGGCAATAAAGCAACACCCCTGTTCTCTCTCCCTTTTCCTCTTCCTCTTTCTTCCTTTCCTTTATTCTTTTTTTTTTTTTCTTCCTCTAAAAAAAAAAAAAAAAAAAAAAAAAAAAAGAAAAAGAAAGTGACTGCTTTCTGAAATCAGAGGTATTAGAGGATAGAGGGTCTCTGATGCACAGTAGGACCTGGAAGGAGGATAAAGATCTGTTCCAGGCTGGGCATGGTGGCTGTAATCCCAGCACATTTGGAGGCCGAGGTGGGCAGATTGCCTGAGGTCAGGAGTTCGAGACCAGCCTGGCCAACGTGGTAAAACCCTGTCCCTACTAAAAATACAAAACATTGGCTAGGTGTGGTAGTGGGCACCTGTAGTCCCAACTACTCAGGAGGGAGGCAGGAGAATTACTTGAACCCAGGAGGCAGAGGTCATAGTGAGCTGAGATTGCCCCACTGCACTCCAGCCTGGGCGACAGACTGAAACTCTTGTCTCAAAAACAAAAACACCCAGCTCTGGTTGCAGGCTGCTCGTCAAGAGCAGGGAACTGTACTTATTCTCCTTCAGCCCATCCCCTTACCCAGGTCCAAGCAGCCTCCTTTGTCCCCAACCCCAGGGCTCTTAGTCCCGGCGATCCAGAGGTTGGAGGTGAGGTCGGTGACCCAGCCCTGTCCCCAGACCTCCCACAGCTTCAGGTTCAGAAAAAGGCATGTAAAGTTTGGTATAAACAGGAACACAACTTCATGGAGTTTCTCCTCACTGATTTAAATATTCTAGTCTATTTAGAGAATGAGTCACATGACTCAGGAATTACCAACAGCCTATTTTCACCCAGTGGCTTCCTGGTTTACCCGCTTTAGGAGATCATTAATGGAAATTGAGAATCTGTCTCACATAAATTGCCTTTTTAAAAAGCCACACAGTTTTAGGAACTTCTCTTCCCAAGGAAATCGTATCTGAGCTCCAGCCCAACTGGGCCACTCTGTGGGAGGGGGAACAGCCTGGTGGCCTTCAGGAGGTGAGGGGGAGACAGAACAGCTCAGCCAGCCCAGACCTCCACTTGTTCTCCCTCCCCCCATTCCTGCCAATTAACGCCAGTCACTGGAGACAAGAACCAACTGGATCAGATACGACCCACGAACCAAGCTTCGGAATCCCTCATCTACAGCAATATTTTCTAAACTTGCCTAATCGTAGGACTGAGCTGGAATATATATATGTATGTAGGTATGTGTATATATATATATATATATACACACACACACACACATACATACATACATACATATATATATATATATTTTAAAAAACAACTCCCCCCACACACAAATCAGAGACGGAGGTCTCCTCATGTTGCTCAGGCTTGTCTGCAACTTCTGGCCTCAAGCCATCCTCCCACCTGGGCCTCCCAAAGTGCTGGGATTACAGGCTCAAGTCCCCATGCCCGCCTGGAACTCTTAACCGCACTCCGGCTGCTTTTTGCAGGCCTCACTTCTGACCCACTGGGTCTAGGTTTTCGGGAGACAGCCTCTGGACCCTGTGTTCTAGGCAAATGCCCCCAAAGTAACAGCTCCCACTTACCATGAGCTTAATCTGTGTCAGGCCTCAATTAACTCATGTTATCCTCACAAGAGCCTGAAAGTTAAGAAACTTGCCCAAGCACGCAGTTATCAAAGGATGAAGCTGAAAGTCCGCTCTGGGCATCATGGCTGCAGAGACCACAAACTAGGAGGCAGTGGCTTCTCAGGCAGAAACAGGAAGATTCTAAACCGAGAACAAGGACTAGAGGACCTGGGTGGGGCTGGGTACTTTCCCAGATGGCGCCAATGGCAGTTCAAAGGTGAGTGTTTTCTGTAACCCGGGCCAGTGCCCAGCCTCTGTTTCCCCAGGACTTGGGAGGGCAGCACCCAAGGTAACCTGAGCACCCCGTTACCTTGGAGCCCTCAGGCTGTCTCTGGGCCACCCACTCAGGGTGGCCTCCCTACCTGCTCAAGGCTGTCCCGCCTTGAGGGCTACAGAGGGCTGTCCCGCCCAAACAGCCACACCCCAGGGCCAACCCAGTGCTCTGTGTGCCAAGGGAGTTTCTGGGAGAGCCACCTGATACTCCACGTGACAACCAGCCTTTCCCCCATCACCCAGGGGTCACCCAGGCAAGGAGCAGAGGACACAGGGGCCATCAGCCTATCACCCCCACCCAAGGGACTGCTCTAAGATCCCCAGAATCTCAGTCTGGTAGGTACAGCTAAGCATCCTCCCAAAAAGGGAAAGAACCTTGGTTACCAAATTCTATGCCTTCTGGAAATCACTCTAATGACTTCCGGAATGATCGGCTGAGGCCAACATCTGCATGGGGCAGTAGGAAAGCCTCCTCTGTCAGAGTTAAGGGGCCTGAATATGGACAGGTCACATTCTTGGGGGTCAAGGTGACAGGCCAGAGCCCAGGTCCCCAGGACAGTGCAGGTGAGTAGAGCAAGCACCAATCTAGCTCTGAGATGGGGTCTGAATGGACCCTGGGAGGTTGCCCACCTGACATCTCATGTGGAACCCTGAATCAGAGAGAGGCCCGAGAGTTGCAGGGCAGTGGGGGACAGTGTCGGTGAGTTAATCTACCTTTACTTCAAAACCCAGAAAACTAGGCCGGGCGCGGTGGCTCAAGCCTGTAATCCCAGCACTTTGGGAGGCCGAGGCGGGTGGATCACGAGGTCAAGAGATCGAGACCATCCTGGTCGACATGGTGAAACCCCGTCTCTACTAAAAATACAAAAAATCAGCTGGGCATGGTGGTGCATGCCTGTAATCCCAGCTACTCAGGAGGCTGAGGCAGGAGAATTGCCTGAACCCAGGAGGCAGAGGTTACGGTGAGCCGAGATCACGACATTGCACTCCAGCCTGGGTAACATGAGTGAAACTCCGTCTCAAAAAAAAAAAAAAAAAAAAAAACCCAGAAAACTCCCATTATTGGAAAGTGAAATCTCCCAAAGCAAAGCCACCGCCCATCTTCCTTCCCCACTCTGATTCAGGTTTTCCCTGCCCCCCAGCGGAAGCAAGGCCCTTGAAAACAGGACAGGGTTAAAGAGAGCCTCAAGGGATACAAAGATCTGCCCGATTTGAGGTTTGGGGGGCCAGTACCACGTACTCACATCTAGAAGTGCAGCTAGCTGCAACACACGCCAGAGATGGGGAACTCTCACCCAGCCCTGGGGCTCACTTCCCGGCAGGCCAAGGCAGGCCTGGCCCAGGGGTGGGGCTTGGGAGTTAAAGGGCCCTTGCAGCTGGTTCTCATTTTGTCCTCTGGGCTGTCTCTGCTGCAGCTGAAAGCACACCACTCCCTGCCCGCTAATCAGCTTCTGCCTTGGAGCCAGCTGGCGGCACTGGGGTGTGGCTGAGAGAGGCTGGAAAGCCCGAGACAGGGCAGGTGCTGACTGAGGGGACCTCTGCCCATCTGGCTTTCATTTTCCAATCTGGGTGAATACAGTTCTGCCTCTCCCTTCAAGTGTGGCCAAACTGTTGAGGCTCCAGCTATAGTCACTCCTCTTAAGAGATGATAGCTCTGCATCTTTTATTTCAGACTCAGAAAATTCAGTCCCAGTCTCCAAATAGGTGTTCAATAGAAAACACGCACATGCGCTCATGCGTGCGCACGCGCACACACACTCTCTTCCTTTCACACACACACACACACACATACACACACACACACTCTCTCTCTCTCTCTCTCTCTTTTCTCTCTCTTCCTCTTTCCCTCTCCTGCAACGTGCTGTTTGGGAGCTTGGGGTTTCTCTCTTCTTCCCAAGTTTCTCAGTGTCTCGGCTGGGGAAGGAGGGCCCAGGCCCCAGCAGGTACAGACTCTGCACCCTAGAGGCAGGAGCAGCAGGAGTCAGTATTTCCGCTGCCGAGGGAAGAGGCTGCTCCCTGAGGATCGGAGTGAGGGGCTGGTGGGGCTGGGGTCTTCCGAGTCCAGGCTGAAGAGGTCCCTCCCAGTACGAAGGATCTGCTCCTCCAGCTTCTTGTGTCGCTTCATGTCCGAGAGCACCTTGTCCAGGCGGGCCTCCCGTTTCTGGCTCCGGGCTGAGCTTCCTGGAGAAGGGGAAGGTAAGATACATGGAAGGGATGGAGGCGGTGTGCACCAGACCTGCCTTAACTTCACTCGTCACTTGGGGAGCTAGTTAAACATGCAGGTCCCCAGGCCTCTGCCTAGGAAGACCTGAGGTTCAGGGTTGGCCCTCAGGAAGGGTGAGTGGTGAAGGTCTTGAATGACAGGATGGCATGAGCAATGTGAAGAGCAGGGAGGACCATATGGGGGAGGGGGACGGCAAGGGTAAAGGCCCAGGACAAGAACAGAGTTCTGTTCAGAGACGAGTGCAGAGAGCTGGCACTCTTGCTCTTCCCTGGCAAGATGGAATCCCTTGGAAAATTTTAAGTAGAAAAGTGACATGACTTATGGTCAGGCGCAGGGGCTCAAGCCTGTAATTTCAGCACTTTGGGAGACTGAGGTGGGCAGATCACTTGAGGTCAGGAGTTCAAGACCAGCCTGGCCAACATGGCAAGACCCCATCTCTACTAAAAATTACAAAAATTAGCTAGGCGTGGTGGCATGTGCCTGTAATCCCAGCTGCTCGGCAGGCTGACGCAGGAGAATCAATTGAACCCAGGAGGCGGAAGTTGCAGTGGGCTGAGATCGTGCCACTGCACTCCAGTCTGGGCAAGAGACTTTGTCTCAAAAAAAAAAAAAAAAAAAAAAAGAGGACACAATTTATATTTTAAAAGGATCATCTGAGTTGCAGAAACTGGAAGCAGACAGCCCAATTAGGAGCCACTGCACTATATAGGCAAAGATGGTGGCTGGGATGGGGATGTGGTGTTGAAAGTGGAGAGCAGCAGAGGTACTTGGAATGTACATCTTGTAGTGAGCAAGACTTGCTGTTGGTGTGAAAGTGCAGGTAAGAGAGAGAAATCAAGAATGGCTCTAGGCTGGGTGTGGTGACTCACGCCTGTAATCTCAGCATTTTGGGCGACCGAGGCAGATGGATCACTTGAGCCCAAGAATTTGAGACCAACCAGTCTGGCCAACATAGCAAGACCTTGTCTCTCCAAAAAAAAAAGAAAAAAAGAAAAAGAAAAAAGACATGACTCTGAGGGTAAATTCTAGAAGGGCATGTGGGGTGGGAAATGGAGTCACTGGTGTGATTAAAAATGTACATGGTAGTAGAGGATGCGAGCTACATAATATTGAAAGGCCAGGACCTGGACTTCTGGGAATGGGAAACATAATAGAATTATTTGTAATTTTCCAGAATCAATGACCAGTTTTTTTAAGGAATTATCTGTAATTTTTTTTTTTTTTTTTAAACAGAGTCTCACTCCGTGGCCCAGGCTAGAGTGCAGCGGTGTGATCTCAGGTCACTGCAACCTCTACCTCCAAGGCTCAAGCAATTCTGCCTCTCCAGTAGCTGGGATTACAGGCGCTGGCTACCACAATCGACTAATTTTTTGTATTATAACCATCCCTTAAAGGAAGACAAGGGGCTGGGCACAGTGGCTCACGCCTGTAATCCCAGCACTTTGGGAGGCGGAAGTGGGTGGATCACGAGGTCAGGAGTTAAAGAGACCAGCCTGGCCAACATGGTGAAACTCGGCGTGGTGGCTCGCCTCTAATCCCAACTACTTGGAGGCTGAGGCAGGAGAACTGCTTGAACCCGGAAGGTGGAGGTTGCAGTGAGCTGAGATCGTGCCATTGCACTCTAGCCTGGGCGACAAGAGCAAGACTCTGTCTTAAAACAAAAAAAGGAAGACGAGGTAGTAGTCTAAGTCATAAAGATGGTAGTACTGGTGAATGCTCTCTCCTGTAGCTGAAGTTATGTGGCAGCTGAGGCAGCAAGCAAAGGCCTCTAGGGGAGCCGATCTGGGGTAACTGAGCCGAGGCTCTTCACCTCCCCAACCCTCCCCTCTCCTTTGTACCTGGGGTGCGTCGCCGGTCAATTAGGGAGTCCTTTGGTGTCACTGGCTCATCATCAAAATCAAATTCCGTGGGCATGTGTGGTCTGGGACAGGTGAACAGAGTGGAGGGTGAGGGCGGTCCTCCCCCCCACCCACACATGTGCTTCTCCCCTGCCCAGTCCTCCTCCCTCGCTGGCTTCCCTCCCTCCGCTTTCCAGGCTCCTGGGTCCCATATTTTCCCCTCCCTACTTCCTCCTGCCATCAGGGAGCAGCCCCGGGACAAGGTGTAAGAGTGTGCTTTTACTTTTCCTCTTCCTCTTCTTTGGCCTCCGGCTCCTCATCGGATCTCTCTTCTTCGCTCTGGGCCTCGGGCGTGGGCGGCCGGCGAGGCAGGATCTCTGCTTGCAGCTCCAGGGTACCGTGGGCAGCCAGCAGTTCATAGAGCCGCTGGATTTCGGAGGGCTGGGGCATCCAGGGCTGCCCATCCGCGGGCAGCTCCACCTCCTCGTCGCTGCAGGGCACACACCAGTCCTCGGAGTCCCCCTGGGTGGGCTCTTCCCCACTGGCACTGGGGGCTTCTCCCTGCGCCTCCTCGCCCCCGGACCCCTCACGCTCGGTCTCCTCTCGGCCTCCTTCTCCCTCGTCCTCGGCCTTAGCGGCCGAGGCGGAGGGGCCTCCGGTATCCTCCACGGCCAGAGCCTGGAGGCCGGAGGTCACTTCCCCTTCTTCAGACAGAGGCGCCGCCGTGGTGGCCGCAGTGTCTCCATGGCCCCGGGCAAGGGACATAGGGCCCTAGGGCAGGGACCCTGCGACGACAGATGCTGAGTCCGAAGCCAGGGTCCCCCAGGGATCAGGCTCCCCGGGGGAGTTAGGGACCGTCTTCAGCCAATCAGGATCCCGCAAAGGACTCCGCGGCCAGACCGCCCGTCCCCGGGAGGGGGCGCTCAGTCCCCGCCAAGGACCCCGCCCCGGGGATCGAGGTCCGGTACTCTTGACACTCCCGGGCCCCGCAGAAACCACTTTCCGAGCCCGAGAAGGGGAAGAAAAGGGCGGTCCACTCTTCTCGCTTCCACGCCGCCCCTCTCCACACCTGGACGCGGCGCCCTCTCCCCAGACCTCGCAGTTCTAGGCCGCGTCAATTCAGCGACCGTACGCACCTGGAACTAAGACCCGCCTCCCGGGCTGCGCAGGGTCACAGTACGCAGGCGCACAGAAATGGCGCGGGAGGCTCCGCTCCACTCAAGGCTACTTGAAGAGGAAAGCGAGGGAAGGCTTGCACATGCGCGGGTAGGCGCGCAGGCTTCGGCCCATAGTAAAGATGGCCACCGGGACGGCGCATGCGCATATCACACAAAAAAACGTTCTGCGGGAAGAGAGGGAGCACCGCCTCGCCGGCGGGACAAACACAGAAACCAACCGAGACTGGAGGCGAGTCTCATGCAGTCTCCGTTTATTGGTGTTTCAGACTCATGCAACATCCGGCATACAAAAAGGGATAAATCAATTTGATATATATATATTTTAAAGAATTTTAGTTTCTTTTTCCCCCAGACTTTTTTTTTTTTTTTAGGGAAAATTAAAAAAAACAAACCCGCCAAATCTGAACCATGCTGTGGCTCGGTCCCCGCCTCCTCAGCGGGCTGTCGCGTGCAACAAACCTCCCCCGTCATCTTAGAAAGTAATTATAGAGCTCCCGCCCCGCCCTCGCTCCTGCCAGTGGGAGCTTTGGTCCTATTTTTTGGATTCTTTCATTACGAAACACGTGAAGAAATCTAGCCCGACACCTTCATGAAAAACTCGCAGACTGGGGTTGAAAAGCCCAGGTGGGCGAGTCAACTCCAGCTGACCTGGGAAGGGTCAGCGCCTTGTCCCTCCCTTCTCCCCTGCGCGCGTTCGGAACCGGTGCTCGCCACCCTCGCAGAAGTCCCCACACGAGGCCCGGCTTGCCAGCTCTGCGACCTGCAAGGCACCCTTGGGTGTCCGAGCCTGGGCGGTCCCAGCGGAGAACAGTCGGAGCCCGGGGTTGGGGAGCCCTCTCCCAGCACTGCTCCCCACCCCCCAGCCTGATCTAAGTGCTGTCATTTTTGCAGAGGAAACGGTGCCGGGAGGGTGGAGAAGAGGATGCCTTAGGGGAGATGAGGAGGCAGGAAGAGGAAGGGGGTGGGAAGCGGAGAGGGAAGGGGAGATGATAAAGAAGGGAAGGAAGAGAGGACTTGGGGGTGGGGAGGATGCCAAGACAATGAAAGTTGGGAGGAGGAGGCCAGGGTGGAGGTCCAGAGAATTTGAGAGGCTGGAAGAAGTGCAGGGAGGCCAGCCGGGAGAGATGCAGGGAGGCTGAGAGCGAAGAGTTGGGGAGGTGTTCAGGGAGGTTTCCAGGGTGCAGGGAGGTTTCCAGAAGTGCAGGGATAGGGGGCCAGGAGGCTGCAGGGGATGCAGGCAGAAGTGCAGGGAGGTTGGAACCAGTGCAGGGATGAGGGAGGCCTACAGTTGGCAGAAGAGCCTGGCAAGATGCAGGAGCAGGACAGAAGCTGTAAACAAGGCCGCTCAGGCTCCCTTGGTCCTTAGGGGTGGGGGCCAGGGCCATCAGTTGGGCTTCCCCCAGGGGAGGGATGGGCCCAAGGCAGCTCCCAACAAGAAGAAAAGTCTTGGGATTCAGGGCAGAGCCCCTCACTTATACACTGTGGGAGAGGAGAGGGAAGGACAGATGGGCAGGGGGACAAGGAGCGACAAAGGAGAGGTAAGGAGGACAGACAGGAGAAAGCAGGGGCAGGGGTTAGTAAAGCTGCCCTTGCCAACCCTTCCACTCCTCCCCTGCCTGTCCCAAGCCCCCACTCACCGCCTAAGTTGATGACGCAGGAAGCGATGATGATGAGGACTCCCCCCACCAGCGCCACGATGCTTAAGAGCTTGGCCACACGGCCCAGACGCTGGGCCCCATCCACGTCCCCCTGCTGCAGGCTGTTCCGGGACTGGGGTTAGGGTGAGGGGTGGAGGCACATGGCCAGGGTCAGGAGAAGCCAGCCCAGAAGGGGATCAGGTGGAAAAGTCATCCAGAAGAGAGAGGCCAGCCCCATGGAGGGAAGATAAGGGAGGAAGGGGGAGAGGAGGGGCAGAGGAAGGAGGGCACAGGTCAGCAAGGCCGTGTGACATGTGTGTCTCCATATCCCTCCCACCCAAAGGGGCAGGGCAGTGGTGGCTCAGAGGGTTAGGTCCTAGGGAGAGGCAAACAAAGGCCCTGGAATTGGGGAGGTGGGATCCATGCAGAGAGAGGGGAGGAAAGGCATGGTTACTCCTGGGCCTCTGTCCCAGCACTGATGGGAAGCCGGGAGCCACAGCAGGCTTGGGCCAGGGTCCCATGGGGCTCACCATGACAGCATAAGCGAAGGCCACAATGTTGACAGGCCACATAGGGCAGAAGCAGGACAAGATGGCAAGGATGATGTAGTCCCGAGGTTTCTGGGTGCCTTCACCCCCCTCCACCCCAGGACCTGCCAGCTGGGAGCTGGGGTGGCGGCTCAGGCTACCTCGGGGAGATCCTGGATGCCCACTATGTGCCCTTCCCAGTCGATCCTCCTCAACCAGCTGCTGCAGTACTCGGGGGGGAGCCCCATTGGCTGGGGGGGATTTTTTTGAGGGTGGTGAGTGAGGCTCAGGAGCTGGGCCCTCTTCCCCATCGCCAGCCTGCAGGGGCACCACTGCCCCATTCTCTTGCTTTTCCCCTACACTCTCAGACAGAATCTCAGGAGTGGGGTCTTCCTTGGTAGGGAGCTCTGGTTGAAGGTCTGGCTTGGGGGTGGGCTGGGAATCTGGCTGGGGGTCTGGCTGGGGAGCAGGCTCTGGGACTGGCTCAGGTGGGGCTGCAGACTCAAGCCTGGACCCCTTGTCTTCAATGGTCTCTTTGCTCACTTCTGGTTTGGACACTGTTTCTTGACATGGCTCTTCCAGGCTGCAGTTGGCCTTTGATTCCCCTCCTGGGCTTAAGCTGAGGTCTGAGCCCTGGGCTGTTTCTGGGGCCCCAGCTGGGGTCTCTGTGGTTTCTGGAGTCAGCCCAGCCTTGGGTCCTGAGTCCACAGGGGCTGCAGTGGTATCTGGGCCTGGCTTCGAGGCCTCTGGCTGGTCTGGGACCCCTGCTAGGACCTGGGGAGGGCCAGTTTCAGCTTCAGAACGGCTAGGCCCTTCACCTGGAACCTGGGGACTCTCCTCAACCCCCTTCATTTCAGAGACCTCAGAGCTGGTGGTTGCCATCTTGAAATGGGAGAGGGGAGAGAACCCCTATGGGGAGGATGGAATAGCAGAGGCAGCCGCGAACCCTGGAAGATGAGAAGACAGGCTTGGGGTGAGGAGGGAAGAGGGCGCTCAGCACTGCAGGCCCAATTGGGCCACATTCCTGTCTCAGGGCCAGGCTTGCAATGCCTCTAGGGAAAGTAAGAAAAGTTGGGGTTTCCTTTGCCTTAGGGTGGGACATCCCTGGGGGTGGAGTGCTCCTACTCTAAGTCTTCCGCTTGGAGAGCCCTGGGGAAGATTAACCCTTTTGTAAACAGGACCTTCTCCATGGTCTCTCCCTGGGTCCATCTAACAAGATCCAGACTCTTAGATCTCAGCCGATGCCCCAGTATCCCAAAATCAACGAGCTGTGCAAACACCCAACACTCCGAAAGGCAGACTGGGCAGAGAACCCGACATTCACATTCCACTCCCTCTGCATCCTCCCCTCCTCCCGGTGCGCCCAGGCGGTGCGGGTTTTCTAGCTGCGCGTTTAGGGCGAGGACGCCCCCGCCCCTCCCTGGGGGACTTGGTTATCTCCTCCGATCCCCTGTCAGCCCCTCTCCCGGGGCTTCCCTCGCCTTCGGTGGGCTGGCGCCTTCTCCCGATGCTTCAGCCCGCCCAGCACCACCACCAGCCCTCTGACACCCGCATTCCCAAGCAGCCCGCCCGGCGTCGGCCGTCGGTCGGTCCGCTCCTACCCGCAGCCTCAGTCTGCCCGGGTCTCACCTCGACGCCGGCCTCGGGACAACTCCCGCTGCCTCTGCTGGCTTTTACAGCAGCCGCAGCCCGGGAGGGAGCAAGTCAGTGAGGGAGGGAGGGAGGCGGCGGGTCTCCCTCCTCTCCCCTCCCTTGTGCTCATCCCCTCCTCTCCGGTCCCCTCCCCTACGCTCCTCCGCCGCCGCCGCACGCCGCCCCCGCCCCTCGCGAGCCTCCGGCCCCTCCCGCTAGCCCAAAGGAGCCACGCGTTACCCAGGCAACCAGCCCGGGGACCACTCGCGCCCCCTCCCTGCCCCTTCCCACGCGCGCCTCCAGGCGGGGCGGCCTCCTTCCTAAGTCCCCGGCCCCTCCCGTCAACGGTCACCGGGATTCCTGGAAGAGTCGGGGATCTGGGGAAAACGAAGAGGGTTCTGCGAGGATACGGGACCAGTGAGGCAGGCAGGACCGGGTGGAGGTGCCCCTACGAGGAGAGCAAGGAAGATGGGGCAAGACGCGGGGAGGCTGCAGAAGCGGCGCAGGGTTGGGTTTCAAGAGAACGGAGCCTGCAGAAAGCAGCAGCAGAAACGGGCTCAAAAAAGGGGCCCTGGAAAGGACGAAGCAGGGTTAGGAAAGGGAATTCCAAGGGGCAGGGCAGAGGCTGCAGGGCCGGCCTGGAACAGGAGGGGGCTGGGCAGAGGAGCCCGTGTAAACACAGGGTGGCCCACGCCCAGGATGAGGGACAGGTGCAGCTTTCATTCTGAACCTGGCAACAGCCACAGAGCTCGGGACTCCTCGGCCTTTCCGCAGCCGCATCGCCCACCATGCCCTCAGGGCTGTGACGGGAGCAGGGAAGGATGCGGCTGGGGGCTGAGTAGTGGCCACGGGTGTAGACAGAGGGCGGTATTCCAGTCTGGCAGCTGTTTGGGTTTCTAATGGGGCCTCTTCAAACCCGCAGGGGTTATTCTGGGTTTGTCCCGATTGGGAATTCCCCAGAGACCTGGAACTTGCGCTCCACAGCCTCGGGAGCCTTGGCCCCACCCTAAATGTGTGCTGCCGCCACTAGGGCTGCTCCTGGGGAAGGCGGACCCAGAACCCCACAGCCGCACAGGACAGAGCAAGGCTGGACTGA